TTTGACAGTGGTGAGAGAATTATTTGTTTAGCAGAGTGATGGCATTCGGGGAAAAACTGTCCCTGTGTCAAGTTGTTCTGGTGTGCAGTGTTCTATAGTGTTGTTTTGAGGGTAAGAGTTGAAACAATTTATGTCCAGGATGTAAATATTTTCATGACCCCCTTTTTGACTCATGCAGTATGCAGGTCCTCAATGGAAGGCAGGTTGGCAGTAATTGTTTTTTCTGCAGTTCTGATTATCCTCTGAAGTCTGTGTCTTGTCTTGTTGGGTTGCAGAACTAAACCAGACACTTATAGAGGTGCAGATAACAGACTCAATAATTCCTCTGTAGAACTGTATCAGCAGTTCCTTGGGCAGTATCATTACTTCATCTCTATTGCAGGTAGCACACTTCTGAGGAATTCTAAAGATTGCATTATTACCTACTGGTTTACTTTCTAGTGAGTCCCTGAACAGACAGTTCACATATAATGTAAGCTGAGCCAAAGTAACCCATGTGATTTGCTTATGGCTGAATGTACTTTGAACAGTCCACATACATGACTAGACTATTCATGCATATTGTTCAGTCAACAACTGTTCATAAACTCCAAGAAGAGAATGCTTTTATTGCCGACACCCAGACCTAGGTTGCAAAAACCCGGAGACCTCCTCAAAGGCAGAAAAAATCCGTATGTTTGGTATTTGTTGCTGTGTTTCTGCTGCTGTACAGAATGGCAATTTAACCTTACATACAATAGTTTGGGGGCGGGGGGAGGAAATGTGCTTTTATTTACAGATATTTAATGTTGAGAAAAGCTACACCTTGCACGTTCGTTTTTCTCCGCCACTATTACTCTTGTCAAAACCGCTCATCTCTAGGTCAATCTGTGGTTCATTTACAATTAGCTAATCTCGGGATTATTGATCAAAACTAAAAGTAGGGTAAATTAATCCCAAAGAAATCTTTTTTTCCCCGTCCACCCTCTCTCCCTGCTTCTTTTTAAGAATCCAGTAACTGAACAGTTGCCTTATCTCGTGGTAGTCAGCAGACTCGGAAATGCGATCTGCTGCTTCCTTTGGTAGCTCGTCCCACCTAAGAGCTCTAATCTGCCAGTTATCACAGACGCGCGACTGGGTGAGGACTGGAGCCGAAACGCCCTCGGAGCGGCTGGAAGCTCTACCCGGGACGCCTTTCTCCTCTCCCCGACGCCAGCTACTCACCCGCGTCGTAGAAGATGTCCAGCACAGCCGTTTCGCCGAAGTCCAGCTCTCCGAAGTTGACGGTGGTCAGCTGTGCTCCGGCGGCCTCACAAGCTCGCACTAAGCACAGCAACGCCTCAACTTCGGGACTCCGCGCCCCAGAACTTCCTTTCGGATTCTCGTTGACCACATACACGGCTCGGAGCGATCGCGGGCGCATGAGTGGGCTGTTGCTTGCCTCTCCGCCGCAGTCAGCAACGATCCCCGGGGTCCCTTCGCAAGTCACAAATGCTTCGGTGCCGTTTGGAGTGCTGACCCGCTCGGCCTCCCCGCTAAGTCCCGGCTGCTTGCCGCTGATCACGTGGTTTTCCATGGGGTCTGGTAGCCGGTGCTACAGGGGTCGAGGCGCGCGGCGGGATGCCGAACCTCGCGCGCCCGCCTGTCTGCCCCGAGTCTTTTTCTAAGGCTGCAGAACGCCAAGCGAGAGGGGCGGCCGAGGAGGGCAAAAAGCAACTTTTCCGGCGTGTAGCTGAAAGTCTAGGGAGGGAGGGAAAGAACGGCGGCACGCTAGGCGGTGCCTTTCTCCCGCTGCCCAGCCCAGCTGCTACTTGGAGCTGAGCTTCCGAAGCCTCAGGGAGCGCGTCTGTCGCTTAGCGAAATCGGTCGCCGGCTAGAACTTTGCTTCTAAAAACGGTTCTCGGAACAAGACTGGCGGCAGCACCTGTCCCGTCCTCCTCCGTTCAGCTTCTCATCCGGACGGTGCCAGGCGCCGGCGATTATTAATGCCCAGCTGAGTTTGAAGGGTTTAAAAGAGGCGGAGTATGGCTGGAGTTAAGGGAGGGGGTAGGGGAAGGAAAGTCATTTCGGCTCCAGGCTTGCCTTTACACACACTACGTTGTTCTTAACCTCTGATCACCATGAAAAGTTGTTAGATACGTTTCAGTTATTCTAGGAATGGCTAGTGGATGTCCCCCGCGATGGAATCTTATAATGCGGTCATTATTTTTTTTAAAAAGATTTGATTAGGGGAACTGACTGCTTTCAAACGGACATTACTAAAACCGGTAATTTCAAAATAGGAAGTTGCAATACGTTTCCGATGCAAACTGGAGCTGCAAAAAGATGACAGTGCAAAGACAAAGTAGTTTTAACTCTGCTGAGGCCCTGATTCCTGCCCCTATTCAGGAAAATTCAAAACTGCATCCCCAAACCATAATCAAATTACTGGAGTAACAACCGTGTTTTATAGAATTCGAATAAATACTTTATCAAAGGCAGCCAAGGAAATCTCATGCAAATTCTCTTCAATACATTCATTAGCTTCCATTAGAGCTTCAAATATAAATGTGAATATTAACTATAAAACATTATTTTAATGGTATTCTACAGATTCAACAGTTTTATTTAATAGTTGAAATTGATTAAGGGAAACATAAGCATGTTATTTTTTTCAATCCTTTGTCTTCGCTAAGGTGGAAAGAAAGGTAAGACTAGTTTTCTTCCTCTACTTTTGTGGCAGGTTTCTCTTTAATCTTCCCATTGTCGTGACTGAGTAGATTGTTGCATTGGTTAGTCACTGCATATCCAGTTACACTTGCTTAGTGTACTGTTGGAAGAAATGTTGTTCTGGGTTCGGCTCCAAGTGGGGAAAAAGACACTGGAGACATGGAGGCTGCTTGGAAAAATGGTTTTAATGGTGGGCAGGACCACATGGCTTAAGTCCTGAACAGAAAAGGTGATCACATGCTTCAATGTTGGTGGAGAAGAGAAGAAAAGAGAAGAGAAGGGAGAAAGCAAGGGAGGAAGAGAAGCTGAGGCCCTAGTTTTATCCCCCTCTGGCCTATGATCTTGAGCTTGTGTTCTAATTGGTTGTCAGACTCCCATGGAGCCATGCAGGGGCAACTCTCTAGGCTGCGTTTTGAATCCAGGTTTGGTTAAATTCTCAGGTGCCATGTGGTGAGTTAGGTAATGCCTTAATCCCATCACTCTGGAGCTGAAGGGGAGAACTCTTTTTATTATGTAAAGTGGACTAGCTCAGGCTTTAATGGCTCATTGACAAAGGGGGGATGTTTCTTACTTCTCACATCCAGAGAAATATT